TATTATTATCATTATTATTATTATTATGATGATGATGATGATGATGATGATGATTATTATCATCATAATTTATTGAATGTGAACTGAGCAAAGCCATCGAAGCCACATTTACCGTGCAATAATTTTAAGCACATGTGGGCTAAGAATCCATTTTCGAAAACATGTGTCTAGCACAATATTGGTTTTCTAAAACCTCAATGTGTGTGTGAGAGTGGGTGGTAGGTGGTTGCTCTGTTGACGTCTGCTACTTCTTTCCTGTCAAACATCTTTCATCCATACCTCTCCTCCTTACTTTCTTTCTGTGTTACTCTAAAGTAATACCCCAAATCTCTGGCATCTATTTCACCTATTCATGGGGCAAATTCAGTAGAGCTCTTACTAAAACTGAAACTAACATCGATGTAAATATGAAAATTTGCTGATCAAATCACTTTCAAGATTCAGAGTCAACAGCCGACAGTTACTTCTGCAATTTCCGAACTAGATCAGGTAACTTCTACATACAACTAAGCATTGTTTTATTTCTTAACACTGTCCTCCTCAACACTTTGTGTTTTTTCCTCTTTTGGTGCATTTAGGATTTTTTTAAAATACGGAAAGGTCTCTATTGTCGGAGCTTTCTCTTGCAGATAGTTCGCGAGCATCGTGCTATTGTGTACCAACTCTTCCCAATTTCCCACTTCTGTAAGTTTTTGTCTCAGCTTTCAAGACAGTTTAAACGTTTTTCTTTTGGGCCCAACATGATAACGAATTTTAGTTTCAATTTGGTACAAGCTTTCTCTTTCGCAACGAATTCAGCGCTTTTGAAATTCATCCCAATCTGCATACTTACAGAAAAAAGAAAATACCAAACAGCAAAACAACTAAAAAAGAAAATACCAAACAGCAAAACAACCAAACAAGAAAAACCAAAAGCAAAACCCAAACCACGCGGGCTTACTTGTACTTGAGAACACTCCAGGTCCCGGGGTTGTCGACAAGTCTGTTCATGGGGAAGTGCTGGAACACCACATGTTGTCTGAGGAAAGGATGGGTGATATGGTAGAGGTTTAATTAAAGTCGCTATCAACTCTGACATGGTGACACATGTTGTCTGTGGGAAACAATGGTGAGATGGTAGAGGTTTAATTAACGCCACTATTAACACTGACATGGGGAAGTGTTGGAACACCACATGCTGTCTGTGGGAAACATGGGGAAATGGTAGAGGTTTAACGCCCCCTATCAACACGAACAGAATATTCATTTAACCCCATCCGTACGTCGTGTTTTACTCTCATATCCATACGACTTGGGAAACCCTGTGCCACCACTGTGCAAAGAAGAAATTTACTCGTTAATTCGATCCGTACGCTTTGCATAGCAGTCTGTCAAAATGATTTTTTGAGAAATGCTAAAAGTTTCAAAGAGATCTTCGAATTAGAAGTATTCAAAAATGTGAAGAATACAACCCCGGGGGAACGAAATGACCCCAGGGCGTACGGACAGTGTTAAGAGGCGGAACCACCGAGTTTAACGTCCATCTCCGATAGGACTGAGCCTAATGAGAAATTCGTGAAAAATGCCTTTCCCAAGGAGACAACGTCGGACCGAATCTCAAGATCAAAGACGTGTTTGCGATGAAATGCCAGTGGCAGAGTTTATGTCAGACGAATTTTAATGGACTTATGATTTCAAGGGCAGAATTGCCGGATTCTAAATAAGGCTTTACTCAATTTCTTTCACAGTTTCAGCTTGAACAGTATCAGTCTGGAACAGATATAGAGCAGGAAAAACTATACTGTTATAAAATAACTGTATGAAAAGACACCATAAACATGTGGCGTATTATCTTTTCACAAGACAATTACAACAAGGCAATCAATAACATTTGTAAGGCATCACGGTGAAACCAGGTGCTCATCCAAATAATCAAATCAAACAAACTAGCATTTTTCTGGCGGTTAGGCAATTTTTCCCCCTCAAATTTCCCATAATTTTTTTGGCTCACATCTTTTATGACCATTTGAAAACACATTTCTGTGTGTATTTTACAGACAAAAAGTTGATCAAAGGCACAATAATATATACTTTTGCAGTTTCCAAAGACACTCAAGCTATGGAAGATACCTAACTTACCGGCCATTTTCTCGCTCATTTTACCTTTGACACTAGGCGATCCCTACCTCCTTCAACCACAAATATCTTTAATTCTCTTCAGGATAGATCGGAATTGTTTCACCTAAAGCAAGACAAATAAACAGGAGTTTTAAGATGAAACTAATAACTCCATAGCCCCCCCCCAAAAAAAAAAAAAAAAAAATTTTTTTTAAAAATTATGATCGCCTGACTCCACCGACACATTTCCCAAATACTCACTTGCAGATATCCAGATTCTTGGGGTCGTTGGAGTCCTCCGACATGTTGAATATCACTCTGTAATCCTGGGAACAGAAATACAACAGTCCATTCAGAGCAATTTACTGTACAAAATTGCCGGGAAAGTGAAATTGGACAAATT